TTACCTCATTTTCAATTTATTTTGAAAAGGAAAAGATAACAGAAGTTGTCTAATGAATATCAAGATTTCAAAGCTATAATAATTAAGGATATGTAGTAATGACAAATACTAAATGGAAAACAATATTCTTAAGATACCGACATAGATTAATTATTGATCAAATTATTTAGCAACTTCTGCTCCATCAACAAACATTCTTTCCTTGGTGAATAGAGCATAGACAAATATCTTCATGGCCTCAAAATTATATAAGTATAACCTTAAAATTTACAAAATTCATACATTTGATGACTAAGTTAAAGTTTAATTTGTGCTTTATCAAAGCATGGGTAAAATATAAAACCAAAATGAAAAATTATTCTCAAGATATATGACTGGCAAAATGACTATCTCCATAGCATAAAAGAAAATTTTCAAAGAACAGAGACAAATAAATTTAAAGAATATTTATAAAATTCCTTATACATATACTTCTTAAAATAAAACAAAAACCCATGAATGTATAAAACCTACAACCCATAGGAAAAAGAATGAAAACAAAAACCCATGCACATATAAAACCTACAACCCATAGAAAAAAAAATGAAATCAACAAACCCCACCACAGTTGTGGTGAAAAGAACTTTAATCCATTGTTGGTGTTAATGAAATTTGGAGAATTTTTTTAATAGTTTATTTTTACATTCTTTTGGTCCTTTTTCCACCTCAGTTGTAATACCCATGGGCTATCCATCATCAAATCACCTGTGTGCCATCACCACAGTCCACCATAGTGAATTTCCCTCCAACCACCGTTTTTTGATCCCATTCCCCATTCCATCCCCTTTATGGAGAATTTTTAAGAAAATAAAAATGGAAATTCATATGATCGGATAATAAAACGATTAGGTATTTATCCAAATAATTTCAAAACTCTAATGCAAAAACGGATGCTTTTATGGAACCAACTTAAGTGCCCTTCAATAAATATATGGGTAAAGAAAATGTGGAATTCATATTCAGTGGACTATTACACAGTTGTGACAAAGGTGAAGCAGTGGTATTTGGAACAAAATGGATGAACTTCAAGGTAACTATGTTACCTTGGCTATAGATGGCTTCACCCTGTAGATGTATCCACTCATTTATAGAATAACAACAACAAAAAAAAACTTATATAGGCAAAATGTAGTAGCAATAAATCTTGAACTCAAAGAAGAGTTACCAGAGAAACAAAGGGGAAGGAGATAGGAGTAGGGGAGAAAGGTTAAGGGAATATTTCAAGGGTAATTTGGTGTAGGCTGAGTGGAACATGGGGTGGGTATATATGAAAGAACAAAAATGTAGACACCAAAAAAAAAAAAAAAGAAAGAAAGAAAGAAGAAGCATTTATCAATAAGCTGATTTATTCTATGCAGGTGAGTAAAAAAGCAAGTCAAAGTGCTGCCAAGCTACTCATCATTTTTAAGGCTTTATTTATGTATTTTTCTTATGCATAAAAATGATTGTTCTGGAAGGATACACCAGAAAATGATAATCTGATTTAGACTGAGCACTGGTGGAGTATAAACAGTTTCATAAACTATCTCATATTTCACATTTTTAAAAATTTGTAACATAAACATTATGTAACCAATTCAAGTAAGGAATTCACATTCACTCAGGAGACTTACAAAATCTAAGATCTTGGTCCAGTGAGTTTTCTATAGGAACGGAGACCCAAGAGAGTCAAGCTAATTAGTCCTGGAACAATGTCCCTTCCCATTATCCTCCTTCCTAGCCCCTCTCAGACTTTCAGTGGGTAAGTGGGGGACTGAATTCTGTGAAGACATGCATTCTACAGGCCAGGAGATCCTTTGTAGAGAGCTGGTTAGAGAGGAAGAGACAGTTCAGATGCTACCAGATTCACATTCAGGAGATCGCAGAGCCTGAGCTTCAGGCCACTTTTGTCAACAACCACTACAACCACATTTATCTCCCTTTGAGCCCTGAAATCAACTTCTAGACTTGCTGCTTGTGACTGATGTCCCCTAGCTAATACATTTAGAAGCTGGGTCTCTCAGTCAATTGGGGAGAGCTTCTTGGTCAGTGGGAACTGTCCTGTCCTCTGCATTAGATAAATACCAAGACAGGAGTCATCTCTGGTAGAGAGCACTCCAGGCCCTTTGTAAACAGACCCAAGCTTCCCACGGCTGAAGGAAACTTCAGTCAGGAGACTGAGCCTTACCTTGGGTGTAGGCTTCTTCACCTCCCCTCCCTAATACCTGAGACCACCCCAGCAGGGCATGGTATTGAACTTCTGCCTTGCGGCATGACCAGGTGGATCCTGGAGAGGCCAAAACTCCAGGCTGCACCCAGCCTTCTCCATGTCCCTACCTGTACCTGCCCTGTATAGGTAATATCAGAGTGCTGTATTCCACAATCTTCCCCACCCCCACTTAATGATGGTTTACCCTGTGGCTGCACTGGATTATTTTGAAGACCAAGAATTCTAGGAGTTTCCCGGCAGTCAGGAGTAGTTCTCCAGGTCATTGGTGTCTGAGGCAGATCGCTGGGCCTTCTAAAGCAAGGGAGAGCCTGCTGACTGACCCTGCTTTCCTCCCGGCAGATCCTGGAGCAGCTGTGGAGGGTCCTGTGGGCGGAGTCAAAGCCTTGAGACAAGTCTGGGGTATCTCTGGGAGTTCCTGCTCTGTACAGTGCTGGTGGCTTTTGTAGTGAAGAGACTGATGACATGAACAGGAAAAACACGAACCAAAAGATGGGGCCGTAGAAGTCTGTCAAAAAGTCGAGGGTGAGAATGGACCAGTGACATAAGCCTGGGGGGTTGGGATACAGGCTTGCTGCCCATGTTGTAAGTCTGTGTGCTCAGTGGCACTAAATCAAATCTAAACAGGTCGTCACATGACAGGCGACCTTGACAAAGGATAGAAAAGCGAGTCCCTTGGCTTTCATTTCCCAGTGGCTGCAGGTCTGTGTCCACATGTAGCCTCTTGAAGAAGCAGAACAACCCCCTTCCCACCTGACCACACTGAAAACACATCAGGACCACGGACGACAACTTCAGAAGAAATTAATGGCTGGTGTGAATGAAAACGATCATTCATCTTCACCAAGGTGTGAAAGTCTATGTCAAGAAGGAAGGGGTGGAGGAAGAGATTCGGGAAACTGCAGGAAGCAGGGGGTTTTCGGGAGCACGCCCACGCAGGGATGGAGCAGATGCTGAAACACCAAGTGAGCCAGTGACAGTGCCTGGTCCATGTCGTGCTGAAGACCGTTGGGCAGCCCCCTCTCTGAAGGGAGGGGCACACGGAGGTCTGGCTCCTTGCAAAGAGAAGAAAAGTAGGAGACACACAAACCCTGGCCCCCTGTCTGAGGGAGGGTGGAGCTGCTTCTTTGTGCTATGCATTTACAAGTGTCTTTTAAGAGGCAAGCAGGAGAAAAAAAGAGAACTATCCGGAAATCTGGGTAAGGAAAATCAAATGGCGTCTACCAAATAGAAAGCCTCAAAATGGAGCAGGCATCTTTGGAGTCTGAAAATTCTCAGCTCAGAAGTGAGATTCAAACGTTTCTGGGGGCACCCCACTGGTGACGGTGTTACAGCAGAAGTTTGTTAAGGCTGAGGCTTAGAACATGGCAGAGAAGGAGCTGTCACCCAGCGTGAACCAGAAAGATCATTCTGGAAGGAATCGGGAGCAGCGTAGGCTAGGGCTTCACCCTCTACAAGGAGTTGGCCAATGGCATGGGATTGGAGAGAAACGCCCCCTCCTTCAAAAAAGAAAAAAGTCTTCTATGAAAAACAAGTTCAGGAAAGAAGGATGGCTGCCTTTCCCAGGGAAAGCTGGGAAAGCTTTTCTTCATCTTGAAGAAAAATAACCACATCAGACGAACGCTGCTTAACATCCAGTTCACCTTCCAGTCTTGCTGACGGGCAGCTTTTGCTGCTGCTACTCCACACATAGACCGCAGAGGTAGGGAAGCACCAGGAGGTTCCGCGATCCCCAGGTTCCGGAGAAGAAGGAACAACCCTCCCTCTGGGAGACCCCAAAGATGGCGGGTCACTGCAAGATTCCGTTCAACGTTCACAGGGGCGGGTTCTGAGCACCCGCAACCTGGGAAAACGAACATTCTCTCAATCTCTCTCAGAGAAAGGACATTTGACTTGTTGCTTTCCAGCTTGACTCATAACTTGATTGATATTATGTTTGTTTAGATTATAATTTTATGACTTTTATTGCTTAGTTTTCTAATGCAGCCTCATCTAATGTAATTGCTAGCATTACCTTATTTTCATTTAATTGGATCCTGGACAATTAAATAGTATAACTGCTCTATTTTTATGTCAATGAAAGGCTCACTTTTACTTTGAAAGGACACTTATTGCACCTGGTGCTTGTTTTACTGAGTAAAGGAAATGTTTTGGTAGAAATAAAGTTACCTGTTTCTTTGTATACAGAATTATTTTCAACACCTGTTTTTGAACTAGAATATATTACAACAATACTCAAAAAAAGAGTGATGCACGAAAACTTAGTTAATTTTTTCAGCATCTAGCTGCCTAAAGTCAGATAAAATTTTTCATAGTGCACATTGTAAGATTATCATTTTACTGGAAAGGAAATAAAGCTTTAAGAGGAACACAGCTATTATTTCCTAGAACCTTCTTAGAAGTATCAGAGAACACGAATGCACATCAGGCAAAGGCAATTGTCATCTATGTTTGCAGCATACTTCAAAATTAATGGTCAGTTTTATACATATATGTATTTATTTTTCCTTAATATATAACTGGGAGATTTTGAGATGAATTTCTTTCCAAAGTTAGTTAAGATGAAGTAATTTAGAAAGTATTATTTCTCTATTAATCCATAAAGAATCATAAAACATAGAATGTGATAAATGTAAATAAATTAAAGTATATTTACTAAAATAAAGGTAAACCATCATCAGCAAGATAAATAGAAATTACTGGACACACAATTACAACATAAATACATTTACTTACTTGAATCATCTTGACTGAGCTAGCGGTTTGGAGTTGATGAACCCCTGACCGTCTCTTTCACATCTTTGTTTCTCAAGCTATAGAGAAGGGGGTTGAGCATAGGGATCATGACAGTAAAAAACACAGTGGCCACTTTGATGAAGAGCCATGAGCTTTTGGAATTGGGTACACAATACAGAAGAAGGATGATCCCATGGAAAATGGTGATGGCTGTCAGGTGGGAAGCACAGGTAGAGAAGGCTTTTCGGAGTCCACCTGTGGAAGGCATCTTGATGATTGTGACAACGATGAAGACATAGGAGGTGAGGATTATCAGGAGGCTGCAGGTCTCATTGAATGCAGATATGATGAAGCATGTTATCTGACTGAAGGAGGGGTCAGAACAGAAGAGAGAGAGGATGGCCGAGTACTCTCAGCCAAAGTGATTTATGAGGTTAGGGCCACAGTAGGATTGTACCAAAAGAGAGTATGTGATTGTTAAGGAACACAGTCCACCCCACGTGTAGGTTCCAGCTACAAGGAGCGCACAGAGCCTTCGAGACATGGCTACTGTATAGAGCAGAGGGTTACAAACGGCCACAAACCGGTCATAAGCCATCACCGCCAACATGAACATTTCTGTAATCACAAATGCACAGATAAAGAAAAATTGTACCATGCATCCCTTGAAGGAGATGTATCTATCTTCTACAACCAAGATTTCTAACAGTTTGGGTGTAAATACACTGGAATAACAGATGTCCAAAAAGGAAAGATGGCTGAGGAAGAAGTACATGGGTGTTTGGAGCTTGGGGTTGATCCTAACAACCAGAATTATGCCCAGGTTTCCCACCACAGTGACTGTGTAGATGGCCAGGAACACCAGGAAGAGGGGTGCCTGCAGGTGTGGGTATTCTGAGAAGCCAAGGAGGATGAACTGCGTCACTGAGCTCTGATTTCGCTCATCCAGTACCATGGCTCTTGATATACAAAAGTAAGTAAAGGAAAATGCATGACAGCTGAGCAGCGGAATGGGGAGTGTGAGCTCAGAGGCACTTAGAACAGCTGAATGTGAACTATCGAAGGGTGTTAATACATCAGTCTGATATCCTGAATATTCTGCTTCACTCTGGAGTCTCATTAACAGTTCTGGCTTTATGGTTGTGGGCCATTAGCTTTTTCCTTCACAACTTTAGTATCCTCATCTGGAAAACAAGAAAAGCAATGTTCTTACAATAGCACTATTTTGTATGAACATATGTGATACTTAGAACATTATGGCAAAATATGATTACATGAGCACCAAGGAGATATAGAACAAAATCAGAAATACAAGTGGATTGCGGTGGTCTGTTGTAGCCAGTCCCGGAATGTTGATTACTTTTTAGGTGTAAATAGGTAAAAATAAATTTCTTTGGGGAAAAAATGTATTATCAGACAATTTTGTATCGATACATTAAGATCATTGCTTAAAAGGATCTTTAGGAGTCCTGACCAAAAACTCCACTGATAACTATGTTCTCTCAATTATACACCTACCAAGTGGTCTTTACAAAATTCAAAATGCTCAGTGACTTAACACCATCTTCTGAGGAAGTGTTTTGGAGAATCTTACAAGACTCACATTGTCGAGACACAACAGAAAAAACCAGAACACAAAAAAAAAACAAAAAACGGGCAAAAAAGCAACGACAATAATAAAACACAAAAAAAAAAAAAAAAACAACAAAAAAAAACACAAAAAAAAAAAAACAAAAAAAGAAAAAACAAAAAAAAAAAAAAAAGAAAAAAAAAAAGACAAAAAAAAACAAAAAACAAAAAAAAAAAAAAAAGAAAAAAAAAAAAAAAAAAACAAACCACAAAAAAAACAACAAAAAACACTCCTCTGGACAAAAACCAAATCGGGAAAAAAAGCGCACAAAAAGAAAAACACATTAGAAAAAACCAAAAAAAACCAAACTCAAAAAACTACACCTATACAACCCAAAAAAAAAAAAATAGACAAACACACAACACACGAACAAAAAAACGACCAAAAAAAGAAGAGAAAACAAAAAAAAAAAAAAAGAAAACCAAAAAACCCAGACAAAACAGAGTTCCACACCGCAAAATCCTCAAAAAACACCCCTCTCCCCCCGTGCTCTTACACAAAGTATCACCATTACAAGAGTTACTATAGAATTTGATCAAGAAAACTGGTCATCTAAATATTTTCCCTTTTACACTATTTCCTTCCTATTCATATTAGCACATTTGTGCATCATCAGTCACATTTTGCTGTTGTGTGTGTATGCATGTGTGCTTTAATTTTTTTACCTAAATAATTTCATTTCTTTAGGATAAATCTTTAATATCCCCTACTGTGTTTAACACAGCAGTTAGAGACATGTTTTCAGTACAGTGGCCCTGGAATTAACAAAAGAAGCACTTAGATTGTTGAATATAAGCCATTAACTAAGCAGACATGACTGTTAAGCAGCTGATATAGGTTTTCCTCTGCCAAAATGTGCTGGATTCCAATATTCCTTACATCAGGATGAAAACATGAACATAGGTTTACTCAACTCACCTAAGCACAGGTTTCCTGACATGTCTTACTGAAGTCTTTCTTGCTAGTATTAATAAGCTACATACATCATCTTGTCTCAATACTGAAATTGTTGTCTAAAGTTTTTGTAGTTCTTTAACTAGATAGGTGATGACTCTTACAAAATAAATAATAAAGATACCAATAAATAACATATTTGCAACTGTCAAGAGATTTTAGAAGCAACATAGGGAAGTCTTCAAAGAAGAGACAGAGAAATAGATTTCATTACTGTTTTGTTTGTTTTATGTAAATGCCTGACCTAGGAGACACAGACCCTGGAGAATCCTGATTGTCATGAGATATAGACTAAATAATTAAAGGAAACTTCCGCTTGTGCAGCTTATAATTTCTTCAAACTCATTAACATATGGATCTTTATGTGTAAAAAAAATATTTTTTTTTATTCATACAGAACTGGGGTACAGGCCAGAGATGCGGAGAGTGAGAGGATTCACCAGAGACAGTGTGGGGAGCAGAACAGGCAGATCGATGAAGTACACTGCTAAGGGGAGCCCCAGGTAGGTCAGGAGAGGTCTGCGGCGCCATGTGGTCACCTCCGGGGCAGGTCGGGATCGAACTCATGTGGAGGTAGCTTAAGCTTCTTAGTGCAGTGCTTTAACCCACTGCGCCACCAGGGAGGGCCCATGTGTAACAAATAATTTAACACTACACAGAGGATCTACTTCTTAAAGTACATCATGAAAAAGATCAGTTATATCTACCCCTATCATTCCAACATAACTATAGTATTATTCCAATATAACTACAGTTGATATGACATGCTTTTAGCCATTTTACTTCGTTGCTATGTTTATATATGTATTTATGTGGAAGCACACTGAACGTTAAACCTCACCTATATTTTGCATCCATCTTTGCAGACTTATTCTCTGTTATAGTCTGCTTCTGCCTACCTTCTGTTGGGATGGGGAGAGTGGGAATGTCAGGTCACCCCATCACGACTTCGATCAAGCTGATCTTTGGTACATTTATAGAGGTTACAGCTGATAATTTGGTTTTTAAGGGCTTATTTATTTATGCCTTCAGGAGCTTAAGTATAGGCCAGAGGTGCAGGGGGAAGGGGGCAGAATTCACCAGAGACAGAGTGGGGAAAAAAAGAAGAATCTACTGAAATACACTGCTGAGGGGAGCCCCAGGTGAGACAGGAGAGGTCTGCTGTGCCATGTGGGTCAGCTCCGGGGCCAGCCAGTGTGGAACTCATGCTACAGTGGTTGCCAATAGCTTCATAGTTCTGAGACTTAACCCCTTTTGCCACCAGAAAGGCCCCATCATAAAAGTTTTGATCTTTTGTCTAGACAATACTCTCGAGATGGGATTGCAGGACAGAGAAAGAAACACAAAAGGTTTTTTTTTAAGCAATAAAGATAATTTCAACCAAGTTAGGAATTTATCTGTACATGATTATATCACTAAGGAGTAGAGTTTTTGTAGGTAGCATATTAAGTAAAGGAGAATGAGAGGAATGTTATCCTATAAGGATTGTGAGCTGTTGACCTTGTACTAGACTCCATCAGTAGACAAGTATCCAGTAACCAAGAGTCTACACAATTGTGTAGGTTTTCTGAATAAAACTGATGTGATTCTAATATTAAATTTCAACTCCTCTTGGCAACATCAAAAGGTTATGTCAATAGAAAATGATAGCTCCATTTTCATATTCATTTGGAAGAGGATATATTCTTTGCAATGTCTCATTGTGGATGTGCTCATGACCCCCAATTGCTATTAACAATGATGCAGCTACCTACAATGTCAAATAATTAACAGTGAGAAACTAGAGCATCCAGTAAACCAATCAAGGGCCTGAAGTGTTCTCTAATAGAGAAGAAAACCAACAGGGAACGCTGGCCATCATCCTCAACTATTTTTCTTAAGATTTATTTATTTATGCTTACAGAACTGGGGTACAGGCCAGAAATGTGGTGGGCAAGAGGATTCACTAGAGACAGAGTGGGGAGCAGAATAGGCAGACCTACTGAAATACACTGCAGAGGGGAGCAGTGGGTGGGTCAGGAGAAGTCTGCATTGCCATGTGGGTCAGCTCTCTGGTTGGGAACTGAACTCATGCTGCAATGGTTTCAGAGAGCTTCCTAGCACAGTGCTTTAAGCCACTGAGCCACCAGAGAAAGCCTGATCACTCTCAAATATTTCAAGACTGGTGCAAAAGGTGCGCTTGTTTTCTGTGCCTTCAGAAGAAAGAATTATTCCAGTAATTGCCACAGGAAAACCAAAACAGAATCAGAGGAGTCACTGAAAGTCTCAGTATTGATCAATTCAGTGCCAGGACATGAGAAGGGACAAAAAGACAGAAACGTGAAGTGAAAAGAAAAGAGCAGTTCCCACGGAACGCAGCAGACAATCTTCTTCTGTGGCCAAACCTCATTTTGGTATTGAGCTCTTAGTAAGATCACTACATTTTTGGTATTCCTGGAATACCTTGTTGTTATTATTTTACCTTTATACTTCTGAAAACCCAGAATTTAGACATATCTACCATACTGGTTTAACTGTTCGTCCAATAAGATTAGCTATCATAGTAATTAAACAAGTGTGCTCTAAATTTCCTAGCCAATAAGGATTTGGCTCAGTGAGGGCTAGGTAAACCTATACGTGCAATGAGGACATCTCTTATGTGAGCATATATAATTTTATGAGTAGAATATACTATAGGAAATTTAATTCAAAATATTCCCCAAACCAGTATGATATCAAGGTATATAGATACTTATAGATGTAGGTGGATAGAGGTAAATATAGATGGAAAATATTAGTACCTTTGAGAATGGAGATACAAAGTAGTGCTCTGTATCTAAAAGAAGTCTCAAAATGTGATTTCAGTAAATTGTCTTCATCTCTGTCTGATATAGGTCTCCATTCTGGCATGTGTTTCATAAAATATTAAAGTGTTACTATAAACCTGATGCAGCTTTCTTAAATTCCAGTGCAGTTATATCTTATTATACAGAGGCAATGCTTTGCTTGTTTTTATTTGATTTAAATTTTCTCTACATTAACATAATGAAAAAACACTGGTTTTATTTTACACAACTTTGCTATTTTCTGTCTCATCACAACCAAATTATGTAGGAATTGGCCTTTTTTTCTTGTATTTCTCCTAATAATACAAAATCCTGCAAAATGTAGCCGGCCACAAGTGAGACCAAAACAATGGCCGCTAGATGGCAGCGCAACACCACATTTTAGAAGAGGTAAAGTCGCTGCCTGTTTCTTTAAACATTTATGAGAAGAGGGTTGCTCAGCGTGCAGTTGAAATTGCTGTAAACAAGCAAGGAAAAGGATACTTGAAAAGAGAATTAGTGTTCCTAATGAGCACTTCGTGCACTCCGAGACAGCTGAAACGTGTG